GAGTACCATGGAGTGTGAGCTGCCAGAATGAGGCAGGTTTGGGTCCCTGTGACAGCTAACATCACTCTATCTCAGCCTACCTGACAAGAAAGACACTATATATTGCCTTTGTACCCAGTGCAGAACAAATAAGCAGAACAATGCTGTAGAGAAAATGCTTCGCTCAAGAAGGCACAGCAAATAACTTCCCTGAAGGCAAGGCTGTTCATGGTGTTGACAGTGTCACAGCTTCCTATTTTCTCCTCAGCAGTTATTGATAACACTTGTGCTGAGGTGGCTATCACGTCTGTCTGCAATAATGCTCCATAAATTTTATCAGAATAACACTGAAAGGCCAGTTTCCTGTCCTAGTGTTTCTTGGCTTGCAAATAATCAACAAGTCCTTGCCATGCTAAATACCATTTGGAGAATAATCAGGTTGGGCCCCTGCTGACATCGTGTGACCTGAAATGAGTCAGGAACCAGTCAGTGCCTTGTCCTCCTTTCCCGGACTGTAGAGATAACCCAGGGTTCCTTCTCAGAAGTTTGCAGAAAAGGTTGTTGCAAAGCAATGAGATTTTCCTGGGCAGGAAGCTCTGTAGGGACATGGGGTTCTTTCAGGGGCAGGAGAGCTGGAAGGAAACCAGCACACTTCTTTTCAGTGTGTTTTGGGAGACAGTGAAATGCTCAGAGCAGGCCATAGCGTGTCAAATGGGGACTGGCAGCATAAGGAACTTCTAACATAAATTCAGGTTAGCCTCATCTTTAGGTTATGAAATGAGATCATGGCCAAGCAATGAATGTTTTTCTTTGATGGCTTTCTTACCCCAGCTCCAGATGGAATGGCTCTGGGAGCTGAGAAGGAGTCTGTGTTTCTTGTGATTCACTGGGTGAAGTGCACTAGAACGCTGTGGGTGACAACTGCTGTATAAACATGTGGGGGTTTCATCTTCTTTCTTTCTTCTCTTTTACCAGAAGCCTGTCAGTTGCTAAGAAAAACTCTCCAGGGTATGTTTAAAGCACAGTACTTCAGTTTTGCACAGACAGAATGAGATCTTAGAGAGAACTCCCACCATACTCATGAATTGGAGCATATGCATGTATTACAATTATGCTGCTCACAAATCCCCATCTGAAATCACCACTCCAAAGAGCCCTAGATTCTATAATTCCATAGCACACAGATTTCTTACTGGTTGGTCTAGGGGAAAAAAAAGAATTAGGAAATAAATTTTTGTTAAGTATTACAAAACTGTATTATGGTGTTGCAAACAAGGCAATGGAAAAAGATGTGTCTGTAAGAAGTATAGAACATATTTGGAATGAATATAGCAATGCTAATTGTAACCATTCTTAAGAGTAGAAGGCAATAACAGCAAATCAGAAGTATGAGTTTTAGTATGAAATTAGTGTAATTAGTGGTCAATGTGTTTGTTTCAAGTGTGGATACTGAAAAATTAAAGCACTGGGAGGCTACATAGATGGCAAATTACATCAGACATCAAAAATTGCACAGAATTGATCCTTAAAGTCTTATGAATCTTGGAAAAATCTGTTTTATGTGGATTCTGGGTCATATTGTTGATACAATGTCTGGAAAAGCAGACCAGAAGACAAGTGTTTACTAGTAAAAGATGTACTAGGAAGTTTGTACAACCCTGAATCTTAGACTGTGGTTGCTGGATTGGGGTGTCATTAGGGGTGCACACAAGTGGCCCAGCACCAGCACCTGAATTGAACCTCTGGGTGTTACTCCAGCACAGATTATTGCAATAGTGGAACAAGGGGATATATTGCTTATTTTCTGATCTGTTTCTTGCTGTGCCATGACTCTTTTTCTTCCCTCCCTCTTCTTGCTTCATGCCCCCAAAAGGGTAGAACTGTATCATTCTGAGGTCTTTTGGATGAGATGCTGGGAAGCACAAGGGGGAGGAGGAATTTGTCCTTCTCCATCTACCAAAGCAGAAGAAAAGCTACTTGGGAGAGTTCCTCTCTCTCACATGATGAAGTGAAAATTTGCCAACACAGTGAATTTCTTTCTGTACTGAACAGAACGTTTGTACTGTAACAAGGAACACTTATTTTGGTTTCTTGGTGTGACTATGACACACACCCAGGCTCCCAGACTGTCCCTCTGGGTGGGTGTGTGCAGCCACAAGAACTCCCTTCACACATACATTGCAGAGAGAAGTTGCCACTGACAGCTGATGAAAAGGTAAGCAAGCTGCAAAACTGCTTCTATTACAATATAGCACAGAAACAGAAGCACCAGAACAAATTTGTTTTTCTGTTTCTCCAGTGTCATGTGGCTTCTTTACCCAACAGCATCTTTTGTCCAGAATTAATCCAAATGACACATAATGACACAACATGATTTGGCACCAGTGTTTTTAATCTCAGTACAAAACCAGCACTCCACTGGCCATCTTTTCACAGTTGCAGGAAGCATCCTGCAGAGAGAGCTTTCATCATTTGCAGCCATGTATTCACAAGTCCATTTAATTAATTACAGTGGGTCACCATTCCTCCTCAAATATATTGCTGCTTTATTAACAGAGGTCGGCTGTAAGCTTAGATCAATGCAAACAAGTGAAAGGGAAAGCAGACAGGGGTTTAGGAGCTGTGAAGCTGAGATAAACTCCTTCATTTCTCAGACAATCCACTGATCCTGAAGAGAGCAACAGGTTCTTCCATATTTTCAAGTATGCTGTTACGATCCCATATTTATCATTCTTTCTTTACGGCTTCAGAGGCTTGGAAGAAAGTTTTCTTTCCAAGGGAACATAAAAATAAATTCTCTTCCTAACACATTTGACAGCTTTTATGGAAATGTTTCATTGTATAATATTTAAATGCTGCAAGTCTGTGAGTTCTCAAGTGCTATGAAAAAACCTCCTTGCAACATGCACTTTATATGTGGCTTTGGTTATCCACAATGTGTGTCATTTTTACTGAGGATCTCCCCAGCTTGCTGCGTTGATTGGAAGTTCCCCAGGGAACACTGATAATCTTAGCCCTGGTGGAAGAAAGTCTTCTCTAGTGCTTGAGCTGAGGATCTGAACAAGCCACTCTGAGGCAGTGAGCATTACAAGCTCAGAAAAAAAGATTAGGGCTTAAAATGTCAAACAATTCTCCAGTGCCTTGACCCACCCATAATTGCTTACTCCTGAACACACAGTTTCCAAACTCTCTTATTGCTAGTGTTATACTCCACAGAGGTAGCATTTACTTACCTTTCCCAAGTGAAACAAATGCCCAGAACAGTAGCTAGCAAAGAATCAGGCAAGATGTGTTCCTCTGAGAGCGTTGCCTTCTTGAACTGTCATAAAATATTAACTGTTAACAGGAAAATTACACTCACTTTCGCCACCACTATTTGTTTTTCCAGGCTGCTGAATCCAAGAGCCACAGCCCTTGCACCAGTGTGCAATAATGTTTTCATACACTGCCATCTGTCGTTCCTGTGTGTGTGTGTGTGTCACTGCTATGCTGTGCCACTGGGGTTCTATCCCAGCAGTAAGCACATCCTTTCCAAGAAGTCTGTTAAAAGCACAGTCGAGTTGGAAGAACTGTTTTAATTCATACATGCAGTGAGATTCTAACAATTCTGCTTTCAGTTGTGGCAATAGCCAATTAGTGTTGTTTGTAATCCCACTTCATTTGTTTCAATTGTAAGTTGGTATCTTTATTCAGACCACAGCCAGAGCATTCATGTTCTACATGAGCAGTAAATCTACAGAAAAACATACACAGATCACAAACTTTGCATGTATTTATGCACACCAAAATTGTAAAGGATCCTGACAGTGCATGAATACATCTACACGTATTGCCTTGCTTATTCAGACAGCTGTTCCATAAAATCATAGAACAGTAAGAGGTTGGAATGGATCTTACAGATCATCCAGCTCCAACCCTCCCACCAGAGCAGGTTGCTCAAGGCTTTAGCCAACCTGGCCTTGAACACTGCCAGGGCTGGGGCAGCCACAACCTCCCTGGGCAACCTGTGCCAGTGTCTCACCATCCTTACAGGGAAAAAATTACTTCACAACATCTTACCTAAATTTCCCCTTTCAATTTATACCCATTACTCCTTGCCCTGTCACTACAGTGAAGAGTTGCTCTCTGGTCTCCCTACAGGTCCCTTCAGATACTGGAAGGTTGCTGAGAGGCCTCCACACATCCTTCTCAGCCTGCCTTCGTAGGGAAGGTGCTCCAGCCCTCTTACCAACTTCATGGCCTCCTCTGGACTTGTTCCAACACTTCCATGTCATTCTTATGCTGGGGACACCACAACAATACATTTGGTTATGGTTTGCAGATATATAAGCTACGGATTTGGGTCCAAGATCTGATCAGTTCACACCTTTTTCCCTAAATCTGTATCATCTAAAATAGAACACAATGTTTCAGATGCTATCAGGAAAGTAAAGCAATTTGTGTGTGATCAAATAAGGGGTGATCATGTGTGTTGGAGAGCAAGCCTAAAGCACTCAGATACACAGTCACAAACCAGCTGGCAGCTGGAGGAAATAAGTAAGGGAGTTAGGGATTGGTGTAGACCTATGACATTACAGATGAGTACACATGCTTTGGTGCTGCTCACTCGAGCACGCACACTATCAAAGTTCTGCAACTGATTGTGAGCCTGCCCAAGCTGGGAGTACCTGCAGCTGTGATTTTTGTGTGTGTTTGAACTGGTCTGAGCACAAGGCTTGGTACTGAAGTTTGACACAGGAGAGCCTTTATACTTGAAACCATGGGGACAAACTTCCAAAAGGCCAGAAGTTTTCAGCTCTCTTAAAAATAGGGGAAGGATCTAAGCAGTACACTTAAGAACTTGTGTGTTAAAAAACACAGAAAGGCACAGCAGAGTCAGTAATTTGTTGCATCCACAAAAATAAAGTTTATTTGCATATCCAAATACCTAGAGGATATATAAGTGAAAACCATATGCTCACAATTTAAACACCAAGCTCACTCGCCATTTAAAACTGTAGTCTGAACCGCAACTGGCAGTTTTACTCCCCAAACGTTAAAGAACTTGAAGCTTCTTTCTGCTCTTTATGCAACTGTTTTGCCCTGTTCTTCAACTCCTCTGCCTTAGCATCATTCTTCTCAACACCATCTCCCAGTTTGTACATGCGACTGGCGTTGGCACAAGCCCACATGTGCCCCAGCTCACACCCCTTCAGCGAGTACTTCAAAGCTTGGCTCATGTCCTTAGGGACCCCAGGTGCTCCCTGCAGGTATATGACACCAAGGTTGAAGCAGCTAGGAGCAAAATTACCATCACAGGCTTTTGTGTAATAGTCTCTAGCAACAACAGTGTCAGGTTTATCGTCATTTATTCTCCCGTCATGAGCCAACAGCCCAGCGCTGTGACAGGCGTTTACTGACTTCTTCCCACCTTTCTCACATGACTTCATAAAAGACTTGTAGGCAGCTTTCAAATCCGGGGCTAGTCCACCTGTCAGCCAAGAAACCAAAATGTTACTGTAAGAACATACTAAAACAGATGGGAGCTTTCTGCTTTGCTTCCCACCACAAAAACAGCATCCCTCACTTATAGATACCACGGTCAGCATTTAGGACTCCAGAGACACTGTCATTGTCTCAATTACAAAGGTTTTGCTAACATCTGAGTTAGCAAACTCCTTCACTCCCGAGTAATCACAGCACGTGCAGACATAAACCCCCCCAAAAATCACAAAACACTATTTCCAATACTAACACCATGGCTTTGCTAATAGCTTACACTAGGCAAATATTCTTTTGCAATATACCTACACATGGACTGAGATGATTTGTTTTAATTACATTAGAAGTACTGCTCCTTACTAGTATTGTGATTTGGAAGATGTCTCACTAATTTAACTGCTTCCTATTACTTTACCAGCAAAAGCATTTTGGGCAGACTTGGGGCCTAATTAGGTAAAAAGTGTTACCAGTCTGTGAGTTTATTCCTTCCTTATTTTCTTTCAAAGTGAACAGTCTGACAACAAGAATTCCAAATGTTAAGAACAGAACACACAGAAGCATTGAGCACTGGCTATACTTACCTCTGAATCAGACATAATTATAATAAAATAATACACATAGTTAACCTACAGCTGAAGCAATTTAAGGTTTTCCACCCTTCCCTTGCTTTTACAAGGTGACCATAAAAGGGGTGGGGAATGTAGTGGCTCTTTCAAGGTCGGGAGGACACACAGGTGTTCAGCACCTCTACAAAAGCAAGAGCTATGTCTCCTCTGCAGTATCGGCTTCACTTGGGGCTGCACGCTGAGGAGTTCCTGCTGCCGGCAGGAGTGACATGGAGAGGAACCCTCGAGCTGGTGGCTGGGAGGGGCTGGGCACGGGGGAAGGTGTGTGCATAGGGAGCACAGGTGAAGGTGAAGGTGTGGGCGCAGAGAGCTCAGGTGAAGGTGAAGGTGTGAGCGCAGGGAGCACAGGTGAAGGTGAAGGTGTGGGCGCAGGGAGCACAGGTGAAGTTGCGGTATCCTAACCGTGCGAAGTGTGGGCGCAGGGAGCACAGGTGAAGGTGAAGGTGTGGGCGCAGGGAGCACAGGTGAAGGTGTGGGCAGAGGGAGCAGAGGTGAAGGTGTGCGCAGAGAGCTCAGGTGAAGGTGAAGGTGTGGGCGCAGGGAGCACAGGTGAAGGTGTGGGCGCAGGGAGCTCAGGTGCAGGTGTGAGCAGAGGGAGCACAGGTGCAGGTGTGGGCGCAGGGAGCACAGGTGAAGGTGTGTGCAGAGGGAGCGCAGGTGAAGGTGTGGGCGCAGAGGGAGCACAGGTGAAGGTGTGGGCGCAGGGAGCGCATCCCGGCAGTCCCCCCGGCCCCAGCCCACCTTTGCCCACGGCCTGGTAGGCGCCCAGCTTG